TATGACGTCAGAAAGATGACGTAAATTCAAAATTTCCATGATTTATACAGTAAAAGTCACCGAGCGCAGGTCTGCTCCAACTCAATATTTTCATATAATGTGTAGAATGATAATATCAATGAAATATGTAAATATTGTTCTTGAGCAGGCCTGCGCTCTATAAATTTTATAGTAAAAATTGAACAAATTTTGTGCATTTTTTCCTTTTTCTGAAAAATAACACAAAATCCGAATAGTTTGTGACGTCATAGAAACAAAAGTTGCCAATAATCTACTTCGAAACTATAATATTTTTTGTTAATTAAGATTTCTCACACAATATATACAATTCAGCACATTTCAAGAAATTTTCAAAATACGCAGCTCTGTTAAGGCTGCATAAAGGGGGCGGGGCCTAATTCATACGGGAAAAGTCTACTGTGACATCACACAAATATAGCAATTCCTCACAATAACAGAAAATGAAATAATCTGCGATTCTAAACTGCATAAGAGTAATGAACTACATCAAAACTTACCACTGCATCCATTTTTGTCGCTAGTTAAATCCCACACAGCAAGATATAAACAAGTCACTGATCGTAATGCACTTGTCGACATGACGTCATCATGATAAAGTTTGACGCATTTTATGTGCAGTGAGAGGCGGATCAAGTAATTTTTTCACAGTGAAAAATGCATTTTATTATTAAACTGAATATTATTTGCACCTCTTAGGTAGACCATTAATACAAGTCTGAAACGTTTGTTTAGTGCCATTATCTAAAAAATATTGGAGAATGTATTGAATTAATTCTACCGTGTTTTGTCTACAGGGTGTGCATGTTTCACGCCGAGGTGCCTCATTAAATCGCCTTTTCGCAAGGGCATGCACTAAAAGGATCTTGACCATTTTTTGAATACAAATAACGGAAATATTCCTTAACTTGAAAAGTGCTGCTGCTTTCCTGAAATCGTTAGCATAACTTAATAAATACATAAAATACCTGGTAAAGGTCACACATATTTCGACATTAGCAAGATAACTTGAAATTTAAACAAATAAAATGCGAATTCTATTTAAAGCAGCAACACTTTCCATAAACTACAGGTTATGTAAAAACAATCTTTTACTTTAATTTTTAATTTTAACTAGGGTATGCCCATGCGATATTGAAATTTGTTTGTGACCTACATACAGTACACATAACATGCATTTATCACGTGACTATCAAATAACGTGACCAAACCAAATTCTGTACAGAGCGGGGTATACAATGTTATTTCAAAGAATGTTAAAGTCATAAGATAATATAGTACCTTAACAAAATTAAAATTCATTTTAAAAAGGTATGTATTTATGCAGGTGTATACTGTGTTGATTTCTTCGAAGTACGCCTTAACTGTGCTGCGTATGACTTTTGTGGGGGCAAAAAATGTGCATATACCGCATATAGTTCTTTACCTAGGTTACATAGTTCTTTAGTATTTGTGGAACTCAGTAACTGTACTAGTTTAAATACTGATGGCTTTTTAAAATAACTCTTGATATATTCAATTCTTAGTTCTTCATATCGAGGACATTTTAATACAAAGTGAAATTCGCCCTCTATCACATCTGATATACATATTTCACATTTTCTATCTTTTCTTTCTATGTTACAATACCTTCCCCTCTCTATCTTTAAATCATGCGCTGATAGTCTTAAACGACTAATAGGTATTCTATACTTTGAATGTAATGGTTTTCTTAAATGGATACGTCTGTAGTACAATTTTATCCACTAAATGTTGATATAAAAAATATTTAGGAGAATTACAAATTTTTGTCATAATATCTTGTTTATAACCGTCATACATTCTTTGAAATACGATGTTCAAAGAATTATTATCAATACAATTGCTATTATACATGTCAGTTAAACCAAGCCTTTGAAATTTCTTCTTAATGTTTACAATCCATTCATCATTATTTTCCACCATATCTTGATAACATGATTGTAAAATACAATTATCGCTGTTTTTTAATTTCACCCAGTATTTCAAAATTTTCTTTTTCCTTTCTAGTGTAAGTGAAAATCTACCTGATTCACAATAAACTGTATCATTACTGGTGCTTTGTCTGACTTTTAAAACTCTTTTACAATAAGTTAAGTGAACATTTTCTATGTCTTGACCCTTGTGAAATCCCCATACTTCAGCTCCATAACTCATTACACTGTTAATATAGGTATCGAAATGGATAAATGTTTACCTTATGTAAAATTCAACATATAAGATTGATAAAGTATTTTTTTTAAATTTGTAATCTCATTTGATATTGGTAGTAAATGACCATTTTTGCTGTTTTTTGTCTGTAAACATATGTTTCCCCCGTGAAACAACAAAAGCTTTGGTATGAATTTGTGGAATAACAATTCATAATACCTGTAAAAAGCAAATTTTTTTCCACCGGGGGGGGGGGGGGGGGAGAGATGTTTTAAAAATATTTTCAGATTTCCGTTGATTTCTGTAATGCAAAACAGAAGTTTTACCAAAATTGTAATCTCTCTTTTCTTTCCCAAATAAATGATGTTTTACGAAAATTCATATAAATATCTATATAGATATAAAAAAAAATCATTCAAATATGTTAACTTTTGAAAATTGACTTGGAGATAGGCGGCAGAACAATACTATCGTTTGTGGTTCTTTAGTGTTATCATGGAGATGATCAAAGAGTTTGGTCCAAAGCATGACTTCAAAACTAAGGGATTTTGATGCTAGATATATCTACAGTCTACATACTTTCTTAAGTTAGCTTTTATCAATATATCATAGGTTCTGTCTGTAAGATGTCTTCAAAATAGCCTTTACCTGGATGACTCTGTTCAAGGTAACATGCTGTTTGACCAAAATAATCTGCACGTGTATTGATTAACTACCAGACCCATTACTTAAAAAAAAAAAAAAAAAAAACTCTTAAAAAGAGATTTTGTCTACAAGTTTATTTATATTTGAACCTTTTCTTTTTTTCAAAGATTCCTTTACAATGATTTTTTCATGAACTATAAGCATTTAAAAACAAATTTCAATCACTAAATGTGTAAATATAAATACAATGTAATGTTATTTTTAGCCTAAAAATACTTTTACTGTGTATGATCTATAGTATACACCAATCTCTTATTGAAGTAGTGTATGTGTTTTACCATCATCTTATTTTAAACCATTTTATACTGATTTTGCTATGTTTAGTATGTTTGATAAATTATACATGATATATATTTCTCTGCTTCATGATGTTTCGCGATCTACGTCATAAACGAAATCCGTCCTGGTTCACGTCTTAGTTTTATTGTAATAGATATCTCACTTTGTTGCACGGGAAAAAATATAACAAATAAGGAAATATTAAAGGCCTAAACAAGTAAATTCAATCGAATAAAAAGTAACTTTATAGCAAGTCTGATGAAGATACAGTGCATTTTTAACAATTATTATGAATCAAATACTAATTAACTTTCTGTCAAAAAAATATAAAATGGGTGTGCAACGAAAATAAAATCAAGGTAAATAGAAATCGGCGGAGTCTTCTACAGGGGCCTGGGTAAACATTAAATTCTATTAGTTGAGCAGTACCGCTGACACTGGTGAAAACAAAGTCAGTAAAGATTTTTTTGTCCTGATTAAAATGAGGTCAACTTGAAAAATAAATTGTAGATGGTGGACAAATGAAAACATTACACTGAAATAAAAACATAGAGTCGTCAAGGAGATATCACACATATTTGTTGGCATTTTGGCTCTAGAGGCCAATATACACTGGAATATACTTGATTAAAACATTCTATTACGCATCTAAATAAATAAAAAAAAAAACCCAATCGAATCACAAAATCAAGATATTGTCATAAGAGCTGATATTGCCTTTGTTTTCACCTGAAAATCATCACCTGGAGCACAGTTCAGATAGACATGTATGTCTGATGAAACCAATTGCTTAACAACAACATAGACTGGGGAAACATATAATGTGTGTCTTTCTCTTTGAATTCTGTTTCCATTCATGATTTCGCCTGGGTAAACTAGCTGAAGTATTTGAGATAGGGTCCTATTAAGACAAGTTGTCGACGAGTCACGGTTTCCTTTTGTCCGTGCACTGGAAAGCAATTTACCCTAAAGATCAACAGGGCGTCAAAAGATTTTAAACTGCAGTAATATTGCTATTATATTAAAGCTTTTGGTTTGGTTTGTTTTGTATTTTATTTTGTTATTTTGTTTGTTTTTGTCTTATTTATAATCACGAATTAAAGAAAATGAACAAATGATTTAATCAATATATTTTTTGACTTTCTTGGTTATTGTACCATATTTGATGTATATATAGTATTCTAGTTTCTATATCCGTTACATAATAAAATTATGGAGAAGTGATATCTTTTTGCTGAAGATTGAATGCAATTTTGATAAAAATTCACACCTGTTTGGCGAGTATTAAACTCTTATGATGGCGAGATATCCCGAGATGTTGCGAGAGACTAGGAACTGATATTTTATGTATCACACAGTGGCAGTGATTGACCTTTAAATTTATTTTGAATTATTTAAAAACATTCATCATCGTCCATCTTTCCTTAATACAGAACCTTTTGGAAAGTTTAAGGTATGTAAATATACTTCAGCCCTTTTCTTGTGCTTCAGTACCTTTCGGAAGCCTTCAGCAATCAGCGAGCGTTTCTAGATTTCAATGATAAAAGTTTTTTTGGTCACATTATGTGTTGTTTTAAAATGAGGTTTGTAAGTGCAACGAATTTTAAGAAAAAAATTGAAAGATGTTCATATAAGATAACATAAAAGCAAATGTAGACTTCTAAACAACTGCCACGAGCACATTGTATATATATGTGTATAGCACTATATACTCTTATGTAAGAGGTGCTAAATAAACTAAACAAAAAGAACAATAGAATCTTCATTTTAAGAATATGTGCAAGTACCATTCAACAGCTATAGATTCACGCTCCAGTGCAAAATCATTCACCCAGTACAACCTCAATAAATTTTCTATTTACGCTGACTATGTGATCCAATTACGCTCTGTATCAATAGACGTGTGTATGTTTGGGGAGACCAGATTCACCTGAATACCTGCCGAAGATGGACACACGCTGGGGGACCCTTGGAGGGTTTCTTCTGTTGCTGACTAAGGTCTGCACAGCACAGAACACAGGTAAAACAAACCTTTTGACTTCTACATTAATTACGCATTGAAATCGTTTCACTTTACAGAGTCATAGGGTCTGGTCTATAAAACGGTCAGTCTTTATTTAATATTTTACAGGAACGAGGAATTCGAATGATTAAATAATATTGTGTACGATTGATGACAAATTTTAGTTCTGAGTTTAAAGGGGGTCAATAAACTATTGATTTGCAACAATTACCGACGCAAAGCATTTGAATGGCATTGTATGCAATCAAAGGACTCCAAGACTTGCACGGCGATCAGTTCCGGACTATTATTAACCTATTGAAACGAAATCTATTACCCAATCACAGAAAAATTTTATACAACTAATATTACGTAATGTTAATCTTATCTAGTGCAATGTCTGAAAATGTTGTTTACCCTACTTCTACAGAATTAAGTCATTCTTTGACCCACAGTACCGGATATATAATCTGAAGTGCCCGATTGATCGAAGAATTCCACAAGCTCATGCAGTTCGATAAGCCCTACAAATGTTGTTATTGCTTTGATATTATATTTTTCGAGATCATAAGGAAGAAAATAATAAAACAAACCCTCAAACCTCCTTGATGCTTTTGTTAGCTGTGTTTTGTCAATCAGGTTTGAAGAAAATTAAAAGTTTTTGAACTTTGTTGGGTCATGTTCTATATTAAAATTAAGAAGCTTCGTGACAAACTGGCGTACCGAATTTCATGTAAATTAGAATTCTACGTTATCTACATGTATATTAAGTTAATACAGTTGAATTTTCTATCATCTTTACAGATATCGATAGTTTGGTTTAATTATGAAATGACGCAGTTTTTGTTCACGTGTCTTTTTTTTCAGTATAGTTCTAAAATTAGAAAATCATGTAATAATAACAGTAATTTCTTACGCATAAAAAAAATCAAGGTAATAACCCAGATAAACTGTTAAACACAATACATACTACCGCAAATTCGTCTAGTCACGATATATATGTAGAAGCATTGAATATCATTGAAATACTTACATTAAACTATTTTTTCCTCTCATAAACTATTCGCATTTACTAGTATATCTATGAAATACAAAAAATATTAAAGTATTTGAGAAAATTAATAATAAACTTAAGTTTTTTTAAAATATTAAAATGAAAAATATATGAATGTTAACTTACACATTGCAAAATATGCATGCAACGATATAAATTAGAATAACTGGTAAATATTGTAAATTAATAAAAGGCTGCGACAATATATGCACTTGTGTTTCCAATGAAATCTGTAGTATAGTATATGGTATTTGTGTTATACCTCATCCTCATTCAATTCACCCTTGATACTCTGTAATCACTTAAAACAGTACTGTGTTTTTATTAATAAGTAAATACTTCCCCCTTCTTCTACATAACACTGTACTATAACACCATAATCAGTACACACTCTTCGTTATGATAGGTACAAGTACTTATTACAGAATACTTTTATCATCGCAAATCTTCTGTTTTGACTTTGATCCTGATGTTTGACTTCCTTTCCTTAAAGTAGTGCAAGTGATGGAACTACAGAGTTAACTCTTTAAATTGTAGCTTGAGGCAGCCATTTTTGTAAGGTAGTCACGCGAATGAGCAGCAGATTTTTCTGTCGAACACTGAGTGAGACACAGACGTGTTCTAATTGTAGGTATTGCATGCCTTAAATAGATGATTATACAGAAATACTTTTTTATGTTTAATGTTCTAAATCTGTCCGATGTATTTCTATACAAACAAATGATGGGATATCGGTTACATTTTACTCCTTTGTGCAACTCCAGTTCATTTCAAAAGACATGGAGCAGTAGACCTTGAAAACTGGAGCTGCTATCTTCTTTTGGTTTGAAAGAATAATACACAAAAATAAAATAATTAAGTTTAATATGTTTACATACATTCGATTCGTCTGTATGGTTTTATTAAACATTTTTCATTACTTTTTATTCACTTAATTTCAATTATTGACTGTACTTAAATTAATACTTGTATACAATATATAGTAATTTTGTTTTTCAAAATATAACTTGGTTAATACAGCCCATCAGTATTTAATAATAATAACATATTTAATTAAAACATATTTTACAGTAACAAGACCCTCAAGGAGTTTAAATGGGGGTGGGGTGATCAAGTGTTCCTCAGTCCCGCAGTGACGGTTCCACTCACTTCTATAAAAGAGACTATAATATATGATATAAAGTAGTACAATACATAATGTAAAATAATATAATTGTTAAACAATATGTAGCAATGTTATTGTATAGTATAAACACATTGTACAAATAGACATTAGATCAACCTGACGGCTATAGATCTTCATTCCGTAATATAAGAGCATGATAGATAAATTTCCCCTAACCAATCATGGTAGATATATGCGATGTGAACCTAATAACTGAAGTAATTTAAATTTACTTTGCGAAATAATATTCATTAATATAATTTTCTCCTTAAATTTAAACATCTAGGGCATTGGAGAATGTAATGAAATTCGTCTTCAATTGGATGAGTATCACGAACATAGCATAATTTATCGTCTCTGCTCTTGCATTGGTACCTTCCGTATTCAATAGTTTAGATTATGTGACGAAAGTCTACTGTGAGAGATATGCTTTTTATACTCCTTCGGAGAGGGGGTGTACTGTTTGTCTGTCCGTAACAAGTTTTCGTCACAGTTTTCTCAGCAACTACTCACCGCAGATGCTTGAAATTTTAGCACACTCTTTGTCTAGGCATGCCATATGGTGGGAGTTATTTTTGTACAATTTCTGTGTTTACGTGTATCTGTCAGTATCAAATTTTCGTCGCAGTTTTCTCAGCAACTACTCATTGCAGGTACTTGAAATTTTAGCACACTCTTTGTTTAGGCATGCCACATGGTGGGATTCATTTTTTACGAATCTGATGTCAACTTGCTGTTTATTCATGCGTCTGTAGGTACCAATTAATTTTCCGTCACAGTTTTCTCAGCAACTACTCAAGGCATATGCTTGAAATTTAGCACACTCTTTGTTTAGGCATGTCATATGGTGGAATTCATGAGAGCATAGTCACATCAGAGCTGGGGTATTACTAGTGAGCATTGGCTCACAGACTTCTTGCTTTAGATTACTCTGAAAAGGTTTTGTTAAATAAGGTTGCATTTTTGCAAAAGTTAGATTGCACAAAGTGTTTAATATATGAAAAAGCATTTTGTCGAATTATCCATAATGACCATAAATTGAACTCTTGATGATATATATACATGTATCTAGGATTCTAATTAACACACATACATAAAATGAGCAAAGTTTATAACTTGCTGTTTCATGCAAAATTCTCTCAAACATAATCGAAATAATGCAAGGTTTACATTATGCGCCCAGTTTATTCTAGTTCCTGACCAATTTTCTGCATCAGATTGCAGGCATTCATAGAAGATTTTAAATGTAATGTTTTAAGCAAGAATTTACATAAGAATTTCATTATTTTTCTTTGTATGATAAGTGGATATCGGCTTTATTTTCTATTAATCGTGTTATTGATACCCAGGGGAATAAATAAACACACTGTAAAAAATGTGTTTACAATTCAAACACTTTTCTAAACACTTTCTTGTCACCTCCTTTTTTATATGTTTAATTTCTAAACATGTAAAATTCCTAAACATGTCTTAGAAAGTGTTAAGAATTTAAACACTTGTGTGCTTAGAAATTAAACATATCTAAACACATAAACACAAGTGTTTAAATTCTAAACACATAACAGCAGATGTGTTTAAAATCTAAACACATCATAAGTTTAATTTGTACCTGCAGAAAAACAAGTCACTCTCGTAAATTTAGGCACAAAAAGTATATGTTTTTTAAATGCGCATAATTGTCAAAATTTTCAAAATATGTAACCAATATTAATTATTTTCCATAAAGCTACTGAACGTTGGGATATGTATTTAATTATACAATGCAATGGTCACTGTGCGATGTACATGTACTTAATTTACACAAATAATGTAGGAGATAGAACTAAATAGATTTGATTAGTCTCAACAATTCAATCAGAATGACACATAATTTATAACGTAGACATAGATAACAAACTTTTAATCTTCAAAATTTTTAAGAAAATAATACTAAGCTGACAATTTAATATCAAAACTTTATTGAATATTTTCTAAAAGGCTTTATTAAAGAATTGTTAAACTAAAAATACAAAATGTATATTCATATATATATTTATTATAATCATTATATTTTGAATCGGCTGCAAAGTTTTCCTCATGTCAATCACAAAATATCAAATTTTATGAACTTTCAGCAAGTCCCAAAGCACCACATATTATCTATATCCCATCAATAACTGCCAGAAAGTAACCCATTTCGAATGCACGAGGATAATTGTAAACACTGTCGAATTAACACAGTAGTCTTCAACAAATGAAGTTTCAAAGTGTTGATTATGGAACAACAACATTGCACTTGAAGATGACACCAGGTACTCTGATACGTGTATTTTGAGTTCGATCTGGACTACGTACGGTGCCTGTAGGAAAGAAAGCCAGATTTTAGAAAAAAGTGCACTATCACTGATATTTTACATTACTTAGAAAAACAAAATTGTTCAAATTTTAGTGAAACTACACAGATATAAATATAGATGTTTTTAATGACATTTAATATTATTTCTTCTCCTGCAAGTCTATGAATCTATGAACGAATTCAAGATATCCCAAGTCAACTTTATTTACGTTGCTCATCGTGGTTAATTAATGCAAAGAAGAAGAAAACAAACCTTTAATGTATTGCAGCAACAAGATGCCCTTTCACGTATTTCACTATTTCGTCGTGGTTATCCCTTGAATTGGGTTGTCATAACTCTCATTGATACATCACCTTAGCTTGTTGCGTTTTCTTTGTTTACATAGCCGCTCAAATTAACGTTCAAATATATGTGTGTCATTTCCGGGAAGATAACTCTGCATTTTACAGTGAAACGTGTTTTA